TATCTCTACTTTCACATTAGTTACCTCATCATAAATGAATCTTCTTAGAAGATCAACAAAACATAGAACCAAATTATTAATCAAATCCAATATATACAAATTTTTTCAACAAATATTACATTACCTAAAATCCGACTTCATATGTTACAATTTCTGATTCGAATGCAATAACCATGATTTTAAACCTCTTATTTATTCTTAAATATTAGTAACATATGCTTATTCATTATCATTAGGCATCCCATTAATCCTTAGAGTTAATTAAAAAAGCTTGTTACAGACAACTCAAATATCTCCCACGCCAAGAATGTGTTTGACACAGTGGCAACGATTCCCATATTCATATCAACATTAATCCTTGAATCAAGCCTGCAAGGCTTTGACACTTGCCGGTTGATCATCTGGCCTCAAAATATGTGAATGAACCTACTCTCCAAACACATCCTTAATCTTAGTTTGAGATAAATATTTTACCTTTCTGCAGCTTCTTTAGAGCAAATTGCTTTTTTTAATTGAAGAAATAAAAAACATGGGTGTTTTTTCTTTTAATCTTTGCTCAGTTTATAATTTTATCCCTTGTTCATGCTTTTTGAGATAATCTTTAACATTAAAACCACAAGTAAATTCGGCAAAATAAAATACCTGAAGCTTGAGAACGCTAGTTTTCTGCTCCGCAGTAAGAACACTGCCTTCATCAGATCGATCCGATAGGAACCCGGTAAGCAGCACAAACGCCGCAAATCCCATCATCAGAATGAACAGCCCAGATCCCGCACCGAACCCGACACCGACCACCGGCCCCACATAGAATCCACCAGCCGCGCCGAATGGCGACGGTGCATAATACGGTACAGAATACGAGAATCCAGAATTGGGCGGAGCTGAGTAGCTCCTCGAATAAGATGGCGATGATGATGAAGATGAAAAAGCCCTCCCACCCATCCTCCCTCCAGAGGCTGCAATTGCCCGAAACGGATCCACCGTGAGCAGAACTCCAACCAACAAAGCGGCGATAGCAGGCTTCTTCAGCGCTTTCAACGCATCAAACACCTTCGTAACGAACCCGCCCCATGGATTCCCCTCCTCTTCTGATGCATCAGGAGAAGAAACCCGTTGCGTAGCAATCGGCTTCAAAGACAAATGCGTACAGAATCGTATGGTCCTGGGATTCCTAACAAAACCTTCTGATACTCTCCTATAGAGGAGAGGGTTCCATTTCAGGGACGGCGGCCTGTTTCTCGGAGGATCTCGGATGATCGAGATTGCCTCAAGAAGCGAAGCCGAATACATTGAAGAGCTAGGTTTTGAGGCTTCACGGAAAATTATCGCCGGTGGTGGAGAGTAGAGAGCGCCGCCGCCGATAAGATATTTTACAGAGATAAGAGAGTAGTAGACTCGTCACCTCCGGCCACTGCCATTGATTTGAACTCCTGCGGATCACATGGGTGCTGATTACGTGCGGATAGATAATTATTTGATATTATTGAGGTGTTATTACATATTATCAAAATTTTATTAATGT